CCAATCACAGGTCGTCGTTTTTCATGGTCTCGGGGTCGTTTTTCATCTCGGGATGTGCTGTTGACCAATAAAATTGCGTCGTTTTTCACTTTTTTGGCCCTGCCTATGGGCCCTGTGCCCGGTGGTCGGTGGATGGTGGATAGGGCACACGCACATGTGATGGGTGGGGGGGGTGAAAAAATGGTTCTCCTAGTCTGATCTGTCCGCACAGCTCGCCGGCTAGCCAGCAGTTGCTGGTTACTGGTGCACAAACAGCAGCAGACACCGCACAGCAGCGACGTTACATAGCCGAGGCTGTAGTACGAGATGAGAGATTAGGACTACTCCTGCTGTATGCCGACCGGAGAGTGCAGGAAACCTGGGCGAGATCAGGGGAAGATAAGAGCTGAGAGGGAACTTCGGCGACCATGACAGCCCACACCGGACTGTGGAGGACGGTGGCTTGCGTCCTGTTCTTTCAAGATGCCCTCAGCGGCGCCCTCTTCCTTCCCGTGCTTCCGTACTTGGTCGGACAGCTGCTAGGCATGGAGGGGGACACCGTCGGCTTCTTGACAGCTTGGGTAGTGGCTGTTCTGCTGGCGTCGTACTACGCGGGCCGCTCGGGAACTCTCACCGCTGCGGTGCGGTTCTGCTCATCAGGATCGTCGCGGGCACCAGCAGCGATACCTCCGTCACTTCTGACTGTCGGCGTTCTGCTGGTGCTCTCCGCCTCGGCCTACGCAGGGTGCGGCACCATCGTCGTCGTTGTCGATCACGAGCAGCAGCTTACGACGTCGAGGGTGTACGTGTTGTTGTATTTCTGCCTGTTACGAGCGTTGACCGGTGCTCTCGCCGCCGGGCACAGAATGTCAGCTCTCCGTTGCCTCGATCACGCCGCACTTCTGGAGTCAGCGCCGACGACTACCACCACCGCGGCAAAGCTCGGTAGTAGGTCTTGGCAAGAGTCCGCGGGAGCCGTAGGTGGCCTCGTAGCGGGCTGCACCCTAGCCGGCGGCCTGTTCGAGTACTCCGACCCCTCCCGGCCGACGCTCCTCCTGTGCCTGGCGGCGGCGGCGGCACACGCGGCGGCCTTGCCGCTGGTCCTCTTCGTCGCGAGGAGGAACTGCTGCAGCAGCAGAAGCGGCACGATCGACGGCGGCGGTGGGTACTACACCGTGCAGGGGACGCCAGGCGGGAGCGATGCCGAGGTCGAGCTGATGGGACGTCCACCGTGGAGCGCCCGTGATGATTCCTTTGACGGTGGGAGAGGTGATTCGAATGCTGCTGCCGGTACCCCGGGCGCGGGCAGAAAGGAGAGGGTAGTGGACGTCCCAGGGCGTTATCTCCGAGGGTGTGCCGGGGACCCGGTCGAGGCTGAGCGACGCTGGAGGCTGACGTTGGAATGGAGAGCGAAAGAGCGAATCGACGAGGTAACGCCCGCTCTGTATATCGTTGTCCGCCCACCGCTCTGCTGAGAGAAAATATGACGTCATACGTGTAACCAGGAATGAAGTCCCGGCAACTACTCACACGAGCATTCAAGCGCTACCAGGAATTAGTCTAGTTCCAGCGACTACGCACACCTGCATCGATGCAGCCTGAGCTACTCTTTACAGGAAAAAACTCTTCGACCCTCGCTTGCGCGACCCGCCTGCAAACACCGAATAGGTCTTGCGAGAGCCCCAGCCGCACTTCGAGCTGATCAAGCGCCACTACCCTCACTACATCCATCGCCGGGCGCGCAACGGGTGCCCCGTGTGGATCGAGCTGCCCGGCCGCATCGACCTCCCGGCGATACGATCGGCCGGCGTGAGCCCCGAGGCCCTCCAGCGGCACTACGTCTTCGTGACCGAGTACATGTGGGGGGTTCTGGAGCCGGACTTCGAGAACGGGCAGGCGGTGACGGTGTTGGATGTGCAAGGGCTGGGGATGCGCGATCTCGCGGGGGAAGCCCTGGGTTTCGTCAAGGTGCGACAGGCTTGATTGTGTAAACAGTTCTGAAATGGAGTTCAAGAAACCAGCTGGCGCGCTTTTGGTGGTAAGACAATGAGCTGTTACTTGCCAGCGGACATGCCATCCGACGTGTCAACTGAGGCACATAAAGCCCCTCGGCACGAGCTTTGTGCTGATACTTGTAATTCTTCGTTCCTTGCATGTTTTGTGGCGTGGCAACAGCAAGCAACGGCAATCATACAGGATCACTACGTGGAGAGGAGCAACCGTATGTTCATCGTGAACGCACCGTCCTATTTCAGTCTCATCTGGTGAGTTCACGCAGCGTGTCGCCGTTGCTACGTGGGTGTGCGGCCTGTCCCTCTCTTCTCCTCGCCCTCAAGAATCCCCTCGCCGGCGACAAGGTATCAATGTTCCCACGTACAAAAATGCAGCAACTTCGCGTTGCCTGAATTGCACTTTTTTTTGCGTACTTGGCTTTCATGCCTCCGCATTATCTCGTGGTGGTACCCCAGCGTACACAGAGCAATGTCATTTTCTCGTGGTGGTTTAACGCCTGGGAGACGCTGAGCCAGCAAGTCGTTCCCATTTCTCACGCGCTCGATGGGTACCCACGTGCCGTTGCGAACATTTCTCCTGCCCTCACCGTTCCAAGCCCCGCCCCCCTTAACCCGACCTGCGGCGCCTGGTCGTTGGCACGCTTGCAGGCGTGTCATTCGCCCGATGCTCAACGAGCGGACCCAGGCCAAGATCGGCATCATCAACACGGACGCCAAGAAGATCGCGGCGGCGCTCCTGGAGTGCATCGCCCCGGAGAACCTGCCCCGGCAGTACGGCGGCACGTGCCCCCTAGACTTGGGCGAGAGCGAGGAGGAAACCGACCTGCGCGCGTACGTGGCGAGCATCGCCACCGCCGCCGCCGCCGGTCCTGGTTCGCACGCCGGGGCGCCGCCGCCGCCGCCGCCGTCCGGTTTAGAAGCGCTACGGTCCAACGAAGAAGCGGAGGAGGAGGTCGAGGTTGATTTCCGCGCTCGTTCGGAGCCGAGCGCGAGAGCGGGAGAGGTAGGTCCCCGAAATAACGGCTTGGCGGCGGCGGCGGCGGCCCGCGCGGTGACCCAGGGCAGAGGTCCGGCGGAATCGGGCGTGCTCGGCGGCGGAGGCGCCGGGCTAGAAGAAACGGGCGACGGGGGTCTGGTTGCCGCGGGACGGCCGCCGGGCGCCGCTCGGCGTGTTCTTGGCTCGGTGCGCGGGGTGCTGGGCTGGGCCGGGGGAAAGCTGGCGTGGCGGCGCTCCACCGTCGCGCACCTCGGGCAGGAGAACGGATTCCAGTACGACTCGGAGCAGCACCGGTGGGTTCTCCGGGACGAGATGGGCGGCGGTAGCGGGGGAAGGGCGGGGGCGGTGGAATGGGGAGATGCGAGTGAGCGTGGGGGGGAGAGGGTGGGGCAGACGGCGTCGACTCGGCGGGAACGCGGTGCGAGCGTTTCTTCGGAAGACATGACGGTCTTGGCCATACAGGTGGGGGTCGGGTGTGGTGCTGATAACGGTCGGGCTTATCATCGGGAGTGTTGATGACCAACTGCTATAGTGCGTCATTTTTGTGCGTGTTTCACAACTGTACTGGAGAAAACGTCTGCGTTTTGATCATGATTCAAAACAATTTTCCTATCAAGACGGTCGCTGCTCTGCAGCAGGACCTTGGATGTGCGATAACGTACAGCAGTGACTTCTCCAGTTGGAGCAGCAGCAACAACAATCGCAACATCTCCGTCGCGAAATAAATAGTGGCTTGCGCCGTGAACGGCCTGAACAATGTTGGCGTAGTTTGCGATTCGCCGTCGCCCCCCCCTTGCGTTTCTCCTACCTCTCGAGGACGCGTGGTCTAACCGCCGAGGCATTCAAAACATGAGGACCCCCCCCCTCCCCCTAGCAAAGTTGATTGGGAAGGGTAAAGCTCAGATAGGCAAGATGGACGAGATCCTTACGGACCCACACCTAGACACTAGGATTAAGAGGTGTGTTCTCTTGAATGTGATTGTACCTAAGCTAGAGTATGCAGGAGAGGTATGGGAAGGTAACGAAAAGGCCGTCAAGCAGCTGGAAACGGTGCAGATGGCAGCGGCCAAGAAAATACTAGGATGTTCAAGTACAACGAGCAACACTGTATTGAGAGCAGAACTGGGAATGTACTCTCTTAGAACAAAGAGAGACATGCAAAAGTTGAATTGGCAGTACAAGGTAAGTAGAATGTCGGACGATAGACTACCAGCCATGGTTGACAAGGCAGCTTGGG